AACACTATACAAACTTTGAATCACTCTATAAATGCTAGTTATTATTATTAATTCTATCCACTGGGACAAGCAAGGACAAGACATTCCTCTCTCACATGATAACCCTTCCCCAAAGAACCATCAATAAACTGCCTATAAATTCATTTGGGACCTGAGGTAGAAGATGAAAGTATATCTTTAAGTCTTCTCTTCTTAGGCCTTCCCTTTTTATCACTAGTTAATTCTTCTCTTCTTAGGCCTTCCCTCTTTATCACTGGATCTTCTAGATATGGGTCCCTCTCACCACAGATCCATTGGTCTTTCAACTATATCACCCCTTTTCTTGAGCTCTGTTCTATCATCCAACCTTCTACAGTTTTCCATTTGTGCCCTCTCTGCCTTTCTCTATCTCCCCAACTCCTATGATTGTGAACTACTCCACAGCTCAGTAAAAATATTCTCCCCTCCCATTTGGAAGTCTTCCCTCTCTTTCGCATCTATCACAGCCCCATACATCATCTCCCTTCCCTAATTATTGCCTCTTTCTCCCTCCATCCCCTCCTGACTCTCCCAAGTCCTCCTGACTCTTCCTTATCCATCTTTACATTCCCCTCCCCTCCTGTCACCTACATGTTGGATGGCTCTTCCTAGTTTCTTTCTTCTTCTACTGCAGGTCTCAAATGAGTTTAGAGGCAATTTATTGGTGGTACTTTGGGGATAGAGGTCTCAAGTACTACCCCTTTCATATCTACTGCTTAGAAGTGACACTGAATTACATAGGATAAGGAAATTTGACAGCTTAGAAATCATACATCCATAGGCTCTCTGATCTAGACTCCACCCCTTTTAAATAGACCCCTAATTTCATTGGTATAAGTAAAGGAAAAAATATCCCCTACCAAAACAAAGCATCACCTGCTTTAAAATTTCTTTAAAGTTACCTAGAGCACTGAGAAGTTAAATGACTTTCCTAGGGTCACACAGCCAGTATGTGTCCAGGGAGGACTTGAACCCAGGTGCTCTGGACTCCTAGGCTGGCTATCTCTCCACTCCATACTCCAGCTGCCTCACATCCAGATCCGTGTTTCCATTAGTGTAAGGAAGGGTAACTTCTTCCATGGACACAAATCAGTAATAGATATCTAAGAAGTGACCTTTACAATATCCCCAACAAATAAATAGTCATCCAGGCTCTATTTAAAGACCTCCATTTATGGGAGACCTATCTCCAAAGACAATACAATTCGATACAGTCTGCATTTGGCCCTTAAAACCCTCAAGTACAGCCAGAACCAGATAATGTAATTGGGAAATATTTAACAAAATAAAAATGCAATACAAATGGATAATGTTATTTTGTGGATTTCTAGGTCAATATGCCCATGTGGAAGCACAGGTAACTGTAGAACTGGGATCCTCCGAGTCCAAATCCAGAATTCATTTTACTTTACCTCCTCCTAATCATCTAATCCATTTTATAGATGAGGCAAATGAGTTCTGGAGAGGCAAAGTGATTTGTCTGATGATACAATTAATGATCTAAAGAGTCAGGATTTGAGAGGCAGCTAGGTGGTGCAGTGGATAGAGCAACAGCCCTGAAGTCAGGAGAACCTGAGTTCAAATCCTGCCTCAGACCAAACACTTGACACTTACTAGCTGTGTGACCCTGGGCAAGTCACTTAACCCCAATTGCCTAAAAAAAAAAAAGAGTCAGGATTAGAACCCAGATCTCCTAACTAGTAGGAGTGCCCTTCCCACTGTGTTATATAGCCTCAGTAGGTGTTCATTTGTTCATTCATAGAATTACAGAATTAGGAGGAACCTCAGATGATTGGAAACCAAACCATGCAAATATCACTTGAAAAAACTGAGGCTGTTGTGGTAGAGTTGTGCTTCCCCTCCAGGCTATCTCTTATGCTGGATAGGGTACAGGAGTAAGAGGAATCACAGGATCTTACCTGAAAAGGTGTGAATAAGGCTGTCCCACAGGGATACCTTTGGGCTCTGCAGGTAGAATCTCTCAGTCCATTTATCTCCATCATTTCTCCAAATACCCAGATCTCCTCGCCTTTGTTCTTCTTCCTAAAATGAGAGAATATCAGATTCGAGGGGATATTAGAACTTATTAAATCCAGTTCATCCTTTCCTACAATTAAGATGAGGAAATAAAATCCATAGAGGGATAGTAAATTGCCCAGTCACATAGTAAGTTAGTGGCAAAAGCAACTGAATGCCCAGGTTCAGGGCATGTTACATTGAATTACTCTATTACATTTATTATATCTAATTCCTTAAGATAACTAGGTACTGCTATTGGAGGGAGGAGCAGAGAGCCCTGCCCTGGTTCACTTCAGCCGAAGTATAGGAATGTAAGAGTACTAGACCTGAACTCAGGAGAAACCTGGTCCCACTTTCACTCTTGGCATTTAAGAGCTTTGTGGCCATGGGCAGAAGTCACTTCATCTCATTTGTACTGAGCTCACAAGGTCACCATAAGTATTAAATGAAACAATGGTTATAAAGCACTTTAAACCACTAATGTGCTATAGAAATATCAGTGATTAATATTATTCCTGCCTCCCTCCATTCCTTAGCTATTTACATGTTAAAAAAAAAAGCAATTATGAAGATGGGACAGATAGGCACATCCTGGGTTAATAAAGAATTTCTTAGCCATTTACATGTTAAAAAAAAACACAATTTGAGGATGGGACAGATAGACAGGCACATCCCAGGTTAATAAAGAATGTCTTAGCCATTTACACGTTGAAAAAAAAACAATTATGAGGATGGGACAGATAGACAGGCACATCCCGGGTTAATAAAGAATCATGAAGGAGAATGTAAACTGAATACAAGCATTCATTAAGCATCTACTATGTGCCAGGCACAGGGGAGGTACAAGGACGAAAGTGAAACTTGGCCCCTGTTCCCAACAAGCTTCCATTATGGGGGGGGTAGGCAGAGGGGCAGAGATGACATGTATTTATGTCATTAGACTCTGAGCTTCTTGAGAACAGGGATTGTCTTTTGCCTTTCTTTGTAACCCCAGTGCTTAGCACAGTGCCTGGCATATAGTAGCCACTTAATAAATTCATCAATACAAAATAAATACCTGGTAGCTTAAAGAGAGAAGATGCAAGAAGTTGGGATGCATCAGGCGAACAAGAAGTGTCTTGGTTGAGTACATCTACTGTGCAGTATGAATAATAAACCTCATTAGTTAGCCCCTGAAAGAACATTGGAAATAGTCTGCCATTCCCTGCCCCCTCACTCTGGGTTGAGGAAATTCTTTGGGAGACCCTGCAGTAGTTGTGGGGAAGCCACAGGGAAGCCATAGGGTGACAATAGGGAGTTGGGAGAGTTATACCCTCTACTTCATCCATAATGAGGAAGAGGATGGGTAGGAAGTCCTCTGAGGCAGAGGGCCAGAGCAGAAGATCAGTGAGGCCTAGAGAAAGCTTCTGCAGAAGGCAAGTAAGTGAAGGGTTAATGGATCACAGCTTAGCCTTTGTCATTCATTTTAGGCAACATAAAAACTTGATTTACGAGTCAGACATGTTAGAGGTCCAGGAGAGATTTCAACTCCTTTTTAAAAAGCCTATCTCTCTCTTCCATGAAAAAAAGTACTTCCCTCAGTGATTGACATCTCATTTCCACACAAGCAGGGGATGCATGGGCTCAGATGAACCAGGCTTTCCTGGATGAAAAACTCTAGCTTCTTCAGGACACTGGCTCTTGACGGTCAGCCTCCCACTCCATATAAAGTGAGATCACAGAGCTATGACTGCAGTACCTAAGCTATTTTTGCCCTTCAATTCCAGGCTCAGATCCATCCCCACCTCTCCCAGGAAGATATTTGCCTTTACTCTGCCTCTCAGTGATCTATCCTTTCTCTGCACTCCTAAAGCATAAGAAATCATAGGATCTCAAATTTGGCAGGGTTTTCTAGCTCAGCCTTTTCCTGTAGGAACTCATGCTAGTTCCTGTGATCACTGAGCATCTTTCTAAGAGCTCGCTGCCCTGCTGCCCTAAGAAATCCTGGGAATGGCTGTGGTCAGTGGACAGATTTTCTTAGGAAAACTGCTAGCTCTATCCTTTCTGCCTCCCTTCTTCAGCCTTGATTTCTACCCCCTAAAGACACTTGGCTTCTTCCTGAAAACAAATCTAAGCACAGGACTTGACACACAGTAGCCATTCAAAAGATATGAGCTGATTTCAATTGAATTGAACTAAAGTGAACCAGAGGTAGGGTCTGAACCTATGATTTCACTGGTGTAGGGAGCAACTTCCCCCAATGCGGACCAGCACCTTCCATGCCACATATAGTTTTAGAGAGCTACCTAGAATGATGAGAATTTAAATGACTTGGCCTACAGCCAGTATGTTAGAGACTGGGACTTGACCTTGATGAGACAAGGGCTTCTCTAGATTTAAGGCCAGCTCTCTACTATAACCACAGTGGCTCTCCAAATGGGTAGTGCAGATGAGATGCAGTGGGGGTGTAATTAACTGCTTGTGTTAATTAATTCACATATCCTTGGGAATGCATTTGGATGGCTGTGTGCACATAGGCCCATGATGGACAGGCATACGGACATGTATGTGGAAGTTTGTGCATGATTGTGAGCATCACCGTACACATGCTCACGCATGCACAAATTCACATAACCTGTGTAGGCATGATGGGCGAAGGGAGGGGGAAGAGAGGAAATGTTAGTCCAGGTCATTGATTTAAAACTCACTCTCCTCTAAGCAAGAAGCAACATGGTATCAAACCTAACTTGCAGCCAGAGGAATTAGGTTTGAGTCCTGTCTGTGTGGCTTTGGCTAAGACACTTAATAGCAGATTCTCAGTTTCCTGTAAATGAAAGGATTGGACTAGATAATTTCTCAATTCCTTTCCATTTTTGTATCTATGATCCTATGACCAAACACTTGTTCTAGGGCCACTGCCATAGTCAGTCCATGGGGAAAACTCTGGGCCAAACAGGGAAACAAAAGCCTCTAGAGCCAGTAAGTCACATGTAGCCATCACACTTTATTTCCACTGCGGCCAATGGTCAGTTGTTCCATAGGGAAAGGATCTAGCTGTTTTTTCACATCCCAGGACGGGCAAACCCAGGGGAAGGGGCAGGGAGACATGAGAAGGGGAACAAGACAGTTAAGATGCCTGGGACCGCTTGAGCCTCCGGACAGCGGCACTGGTGTCCCCTTCAGTGGCAATCAGAGCCTGAAGGTTGGCATTGTGGTTCCGGAAACCCATGGCTCTCAGACGCTCCATCTGGGGGCGAAAGCGGACTTCAGGAGGCTGCATCTGCTGGGAGTAGCCGCCAGCAAGAGCCTGAAGACGCTGCAGGATGGCAAGGGGCTGGTAGCGGGTGTCAGTCTTGCCTCTGCCTGGGAGGCTAGAAGTCTCCTTGCCCTGAGCCCCCACTGCAGTGGTCTCCGGGAAGGCATTCCACCCCAAGCCCCACAGGTATGGGGTAAGCCATGGCAGCAAGGCCGGAGCTTCTTTGGACAGCATCTGTAGGCCTTGTTCAATCTGCAGCAGTGCCTGAGATGCTTTGGGGTTTGCCAGGGCCAGCAGCAGGTCTGACAGCTGCATCTGCTGCAGAATGGTGGGCAGCTGTTGTCGCATCTGCTCGTAGAGCTGAGGCGATCCCATGAAGAGCATCATCTGTGCTGCCAGATGTGGGTTCTGCACCAGCAGCTGCAGCATGTTTCCTGTAAACTGAGTCTCAGAGTGCATCTCTTCTTGCTGCTGGGGGTCGTCTGCCTTATTCTGGAAGGCTTTGTCTGTCTTGCTCTTCTCAGGAGACTCTGAGCCACTCAGAGCAGGGATGCCTTGGATGCCACAGGAATGTGCCCGGCTTAGACCCTTGAACATGGCAGCTGGGGCACTGGCTGTGCCAGTAGAAGTAGGAGCAGGAGAAGAAGGAGGGCCACTGTGGGGATGGCTCTGGGAGGGACTGTGTATAACACGGGGCATGGGTGTTGAATCCTGCTTCTCTGGGCAGTTACTTTTGGAGGTGCCTCCATGGGATGAAGCCCCATTCATGAGCTCAGAGAAAAGATTCTCCCTCAAAGGATCCTGGATACCAGCAAACAATGAATCAGGGAGGTCTGTATAGTTCCGCCCCAGGGCATTGTCCCCTCCGGGGTTTGTTTCATTACCCCAGAACCCTTCTGGGGTCCTTGGCATATCTGGTCTCTGAATCATCTCCTGCATCATGGCTGGATTCCTGGCCAGGTCAAGGGTATGCCGCAGAATCTCTGAGTTGTCAAGGATGTGGCCTACCTCGGGATTCTGTTTCATCAGCTGTTGAACCTCAGGGTGGTCCATGATCAGCTGCCTCATTAACTCAGTGTTGGAGAGAAGCTGTTGGATCACTGGACTCTCGAGCATCTGAGCCATCCTCTCTGGAGTGTGCGTAGCATGTGGCTGCGGAAACTGACATGGGGATTTGGGCTTCTCAGGCCCAACGGCTGGTACAGAGGGCAGTGAGTTTCGGTTAGGGCAGCTGGGCTGACGCCCCCCACTGCCCACTACCTTTCCTATTCCCTCTAGAGGACAAGACTCCAGGGCAGCCGGTCCATGGGGCCCAGAGAGCTGGGATGGGGGACCACTCTTAGACTTGATGACCAGATGCACTGTGTAGCCATCCAAGATACCCCTCTGGTACAGAGTGTCCTGATCTTTCAGGATGCGGCCCACAAAGACCAGCACTAGCTGGTCAACGTTGCACTTGAACTGGGCCGAGATGGCCTCTTTGAATTGACTCACGGTAGTATTGTCGGACACCACGAATTCCTTTTGGGTATTAGGCGTCTTCACCAACACCCTGATGATGCTTGGGGAGACATCTTTGCTTAATGGCTGGCTCTTGAAGTCTGCCCATTCTGGGCCATCTGCACAGGAACTGGAGCTTGGGAGTCAGAGGTGGTGTGGGGCATGGGGGCTGGTGAACAGGCAGGCAGGGGTGAAAAGGGTAGGGGTGGGTGAATGTGGTAACTGACCCCGTCTCAGATGATTACTACTCAGGCTGCTAGGTCTGGGTATCGCTGGGTCCCTTGAGTATTAGGGATGGGGTGTGGGCTGGGTGTTGATGAGATGTTCTGCCACCCACCCCAGCTCTCCAGATGTGGCCTGGTCTGGCTACTGTCTCATACTTGGTACAATGTGAGTCTGGGTATTTTGCCCCCCCCCCATCCCTGCCCTGCCCTCAAAGGGCAAAGTCTCCCCATCCTAGGGACATTGTGAAATCATCCTTGACCTCATAGTTCCAGCAGGGGAGGGGCAGCATAAAGGGATGCATCTAGGAAGAAAGAAAAGAGAGAGCATTGGCCACTCTAAGTCGTTGTCATCAGGAACTATATAAAGTAAGGCAACAATCGGGTAATTAGAAAGAAAAATACTCACTCTGGTCTAAATAAGATCATTCAGTTCTGTCTCTTTTGAATTCCTACCATCCTTAAAAGCTGAACTCAAATGCCACCTCCTCCTCGAACCCTTCCCTGATCCTTGGTTTGGTAATGTTCCTCTTGATGCATCCTCACCTCTCCTCGCCCCTGACATACAACACTTTAAAATACCCCTAATGCATTCCTTGCATATTTTCTTACAGCTACTTGAATCTTGTCTTTTACCCACTATGGCCTTGTAATTTTATAGGGACCATATCTTATTGGAACTTTGTATTTCCCTGGGGGTCTATCAGTGCTTTGGATTAATAAATGTATATTGTATTGAATTTCATTGCTTTAAATTATTTCATTATATTACATTGCTTTAGAGTATTGTATTATACTATATTGCATAGCTTTAGAGTAATATATTGTATTATATCACTTTATAGCATTATATTGCATTGCTTTAGAGTAATATATTGCATTTCATAGCTTTGCAGTATTGCTTTGCCTCTCAGTATTATATTGCATTGTTTTACAGTTATATATAGAATTATATTGTATTGCAATATTTTATTGCATAGCATTGCCCTGCTTTACAGTATTGTAATACTTTGCATTATTTTAGAGTAATACATGGTGCTGTATTACATTGCTTCATAAGATTGTATTGTTATTGCATAGCTTTTCAGTATTGTTTTGCATAGCTTTAAAGGATGTGTCGTATTGCATTGCTTCTCAGCATTGCATTGTATTGTATAGCTTTACACTATTGTATTATATTGTTGCATTGCTTTTTGGTGTTGTTATTTTACTGCATATCTTTACAGTATTATATTGCATTAGGTAGCTTTTCAGTGTTGTATTGTATTTTGAAGTTTTACAGCATTGTATTGCATTGCATGGCCTTACAGTGTTGTATTGTATTGCATAGCTTTACAGTATTGTGTTGTGTAGCTTTATAATATTGCACTGCATTGTGTAGCATTACAGGATTGCATTGTATTGTATTGATTTACAGTATTGCATTACGTAGCTTTTCAGTATTTAATTGCATTTTGTGGTTTTGCAGTATTCTATTGTGTAGCTTTACAATATTGCATTGCATTTCATTGCTTTATGGTATTGTATTGTATTGTATAGCTTTACAGCATTGTATTGCATTATGTTGCATTGTTCCTACCCTATTACATCTCTCCCCTCCAAGCAGGGTGGTCTGTTCTGCTCCCCAAACTAATGAGACTGCTGTCTTACAGAAAATTTCTTCATTACAGGACCATAAGATAATATATTTAGAGCTGAAAGGAGAAGGGGAAAGGAAAGGAATAAGCATTCATGTAATGCCAACTATGTATCTGGCACTATGCTTTACAGATATTATCCCATTTGATCTTCACAATGACCTTGTGAAGTAGATGCTCTTATTATCCTTATTTAACAGTTGAGGAAACTGAGGCAAACAGAGGTCACCCTCGCCCAGGGTCACACAGCTAGTGAGTGTCTGAGATGGAATGTTTGCCCATCTTGGAGTCTTCCTGATTCCAAGTACAGTTAATAGACATTCAACTCTGTGCTTATAAAAACAAAACAGACAAACCAAAGCTTAAGCCCTCTACATAGCTGGGAGATTGTGTAATTTCAAATCATTTGTAAAAAGCTGATCACTTCATAACCTGCCTTAACGGTTCATCTGTTTTCACAATACAATAATTAATGTAATGGACAGCAGAGGGCATTACAGCTGGTTAAGAGCTGGTTTGCCAGGGATAAATCAATTGCTGCTGACCAATAAAAAAAAAGAGCCCAGCATGGCACTCTGATGTTTATCAGTGTGATGTGGCATGTCGAACAACAAAGAGAGATTTCTTAACATTGAAAAGATGCAGATAGGAAACAAGAAGGTCGTTCCTCCTCCAATGAGATGAAAGACTGAATAGAAACCACCAGAAAATCATTTTAAGGTTTTGGACCCTAAAGTGTTGAAGACCATGAATAAAGGCTTGGACAAAAAGCTTAGGAGGAGTTAAAAGTTCAATTTCTGTCAAAGTCTAGAGCTAGAACCAGGATTAAATTAAGTAGTAGTTGGTAACAATTGCAGATCAATAAAAAAAAAAAAGAAAACCAAAACTCCATAACAGTTTTCTTTGAATCTTGTTATTTTACTATTACAAATATCCTTAACTATTTAAACATGTTATAGATTTTAATAAAATGTTTCTTTTTTGGGGGAGGGGAACCATAAGTAAGTGGAAAAGCAAGTTAAATTTTCTCTCTCTGTTCAGACCAGGAGGCTGTCAGCACAAGCGCTGCTTTCCAACAGGTAATCCCTTACCCATGAAAGTCTAGGAGGGAGTGTCTATGAGGTACTTAGCTATCTTTGAAAATCTAAGCCATTCACTTAGAAATCCCTAAACAAGGAGGATCTGACATCCTCCTTCCCCATCCTAACAAGGTCAAAATGTGTGTTCCTGTATCTAGGAGGCGTTCTTACTATCCTCTGGGTAAAAAGAGCAATTATTTTGAGATTCAGACAATAGCATAGTGGGATATTTCCAGTGAAGTGTTCCCCTATTACTCTTAGAGACTTGGTTTCCTCATTTGTAAAGTGAAGATGGTGATCCCTGTTACTGTCTCCCATACAGTTAGTGCTACAGGACCATTGTAAGAAAGCACACCGTAGTATGTCAGCGTGGCATAGTCATTGTAGAACTGTGAGCTATGATTGTTACTCTGACCACCTGAAGTGACCCTCTGCATGTGGCCTACCTTAACACTCACCCACAGTGGCCTACACCCTAGAATTCTGAATCTAAGAATTATAGACTTTAGATTTACAGATCCTAGAGTTACAGCCCATAGAACTGCAGATTCACAGTCTGTCAGACACCCCGTGAGACAATCATATTGACCACTGAAAAATAACAAGTCCAATTTTATTAAGCTTTAAAGTTTACAGAGTTCTTTCCCCTCATCAACTCTGGAAGACAGGTCGTCTAATATGTATTATCTCCATCTGACAGATGATCAAACTGAGGCACTCACAAAGGAAATATATAGTAATGCCTGGGTGAACGGGAGGTGCAATAGTTTTTATATAACAGGGCACAGACTAGTGCTAGAAGAGAACACTTAAATCACTAATCTTGACTAATTTCTATGTCACTTGACTATTTGATTATGAATAGGTTGACTTGATTTGATCAATGTTGCCCAATCACCAAGGGGCAGGTAGAGATAAGAGGCAAACAGGGGATGGAAAGTCTGGGATCTACAGGGGCTGCCCCCCATCTCCATCCCTAAGCCCTGGGCCTACTAGGCCTTTATGTCCTTTACACCCTTGGGCCCTGCCTTTGCACCAATGGCAGATGGTGGGAGTTAAGACTGCTGGAAGACAAGGTCATACATGACAAGATAACCATCATTATAGACATAGAGTTTGTGATCCGAAGGGGCTATAATTGATGCTCTGCAGTGTCTCAAGCATCTTGTCCAACAGGATGTTGAGGTGGTGCTCCTGTCCAGTGTTAGTGTCAAAGGCGTAGAATATCTCCTCCTGGCGAGTGCTCATGGAACGCAGGGCATAGAGGACCCCACAAGCCATGAAGGTTCCCGATACCACTGGCTTGTATTGTCCTGTCCGCCAGGTCTTCTCCACAGCCAGGGTGTTGGCATTAAGCCGGCTCACCACCAGGTTACCCTTGTTCTCCTCTGTGGAATACACTACCCATAGGCCTTTCTCATCCCCAGCAAAGTCCAAGTCCTTCCAGGGCACACCAGCATAGGAGAAGCAATTGTTGTAGGTAGCTCCACACAGGGGCTGGCGAAGCACCAGGGTGTTGGTGGCCAGGTCCACCTTGGCCATGTCACCAGTGCCATAGTAGTTGAAATACATGAAGTTCTTGTAGACAGTATTGCCACTCCCATCCCCATAGCCCATCTTCCATTCCTTATAGTCCTTGAACAGTACTAGGTCATCATAGGACTTGTATAGCCAGTAGTAGTCAAAATACCTTGGGAAAGGTACAAAGTAGAAAAAAAAAACATTATTGCCAGGTGCAAGCACTGAATATCTAGGCCTGGTTGGACTTCCCCTACTTTTTCAGGCCCACTGAATCCTTTCCATCCTTCAAGACCCAGCTGGAGGCCCATCACCTCCAAGAAGCCTTTCCCAACTGACTATTCTCGAATATATAGATCCCTATTTCCTGAACACCTTTCTACAAAGCTTGAAATGTATACTACACAACTAACTCCAGGACTGTAAGATTTAGAATAAGAAAGGTCCATAGAGGTCATTTCATCTACCATTCTCATTTTATAGATGAGGATATCAAGGCTCAGGATAGTGAACTGACTTCTTCGTGAGGTTCATAAGATTTAGATCTGGAAGGGATCTTACAGGCCATTAAGTACCACCCTCTCGTTTTACATGTGAAGAAACTCAAGCAGGGATGAATTATGTCTTGCATACAACTATAGCTAGTAAGGGTTTGAGACAGGATTAGAACTCAGGTCTGCCTGATTCAGGTCCAAAAATCAATCCATAATCCTGTCTTTGAGGACAGCGATTCTTTGATTTTTTTTTATCCTTATATCTCCCAGTATTAAAATGGTGCCTGATACCTAGAAGAATCTTAATAAATACTTTTTGGTATTTATTGGGCAATTGATTGATTTTCCAAGTTTACAGACACAGATAAATAGTAGAAGGTAGGATTGGAGCCAGTGTTCTTTACTCTAATATGACAAGGACATTATCTGAACCGCGACCAAAATAGGAACCTAATTCTGGGCAGTTGGGCTGC